CAGAGGTTTCCAGATGAGACGGCCTAAGGCCTCTGTGACGCATGTTCACACTAGTCTGTAGTGTGAAGTCTGTAGTGTGATGCATGTTCACGCTAGTCTGTAGTGTGATGCATGTTCACACTAGTCTGTAGTGTGAAGTCTGTAGTGTGATGCATGTTCACACTAGTCTGTAGTGTGAAGTCTGTGGTGCCATGCATATCTTCCACATACTATATCTAGGTTCCCATTGGAATGCCAACTGGCCAAACCTGGGACCTCTCCACTGCATGTCTAGGGCATGTCTGTAGCACATGTTCAGTATTCTATGGTGCCCGTCCATATGGGCAAATTTCTGAATCCCCAGTATTAAATCCTATGTACATATGGCTGTAGAGTCTGTTGTCTCCAATTCTTCTCCTCCACCATTTACCTCAGCGAAGTGTTGGGGGGCGCGGGGGGACATAAGGATAATTTCAATGTATTGTACAAGTTGGTGTTCATTTCTGTTAGGCTGCTCCTGATGGTGTCGCTCCATCTCTTGCGTGCTCTTCCCCCGATCTGTGTTTCAGCGTGGCTCTCTGTGGCAGTTGGTACCAAGGCATTCTCGTCAGGTGGCCAAACCATCTCACTTGTTCTTTAATAAACTGTATGACTGGTTTCAGTCCTAGTCTTCTAGTTTCTTCACTCTTGATTTGATCTCTTCTTGTCACACCGGCAGCTCTCCTAAGACATCTCACCTCTGCTGTTACGATCTTCTGCCTGTTAGTTGTAGTAAGGATCCATGTTTGGCATTGGCAACACAAGGTCTTCTGAATGCAGTCTAAATATAATGGTCTTTTTCTTTTGTGTGAGGACGTTAATTGGGTCTTAGGATCGTTTTAGTTAGTTAGTTGGTCGTTACGGCTCCAGCATTACAGCAAACGAGTTTGGCCCATAATTGCTAAACCGCCTATGCCAGTGCTTCTAGTCACAAACTGAGTCAGATACGCCGGATACTTCAAGTGAACACCGTAGCCAACAAAGTGTCCTCAGTCAGCAAAACACACACAATTTGATTTGGAAAACCATAAGGTGCACACCTGCTTAAACACACTGCGAGACCAGGCATCATCGCTGAAAATCAACTTCATTCGACAAATAGCTGGGCAATAGTAAATTAAAACTATTCCAGACCATTTTCCACATGTCCTCGGCCAAGCTGCAGCCCCGGCCCGAAAATAAATAGCAGCTGTAGCACACGCCTTGTCACAGGAACACAAAGAAAAAAACATCACCCATTATTGCCATTATGTGCGAATCTGGAACTCAGTCAATAACCGATAATCACAGCTCATAGTGCCCCCAGGAGCACTAAACTCAGTAGCTCCGGCTGCAAACCGGACTTCCACAATCTTGCAACAACGAAACTGGAGGAGAAACGGCGACGAGAACGGTCAACATAAGCCAAGTTCTCAACCGGCATCCCTTCCCTATCAATGTCAGAACCTGAAGCCTCAGGATTGTCTCCTGGATAGAAAGTGTTCTAATTGGTTACAATGACTGCCTTGATCTGAGTTTTAGTTTTCCCCATAAGTGCTTCCTGTATATGGCTGTTCTGTATGACTTCCAGTTTTTGCCATGTGGTCTGCTCTTCAATTTCTCTTAATGTTTCAGTGTTTGATTTAAACTTTGTCGCATTCAAAACTAAAATATGTTGTGTTATTTAAAAAAAAAAAACTATTCTTACCAACTCTGTACTATCAGTGTCAAACATGGACACTTTTTCAGAAGACAGAAGAAAAGAAGCCACAACAAAGAAATGAAATGTTTAAGTATCATGCTAGGTGTAATAAGAAAAGACTGATATAAGAATGATGATATCAGGAGGACAGTCAGTACAGATCGAAACTGAACTTTATCGGGACACAAATGATTAAATGGTTTGGCCATGTAACATGATTAGCAGCAGACAGGGCACCATAGAGAGCAATGTTATGCAGACACAGCAATAACAGAGCCAGAGATTAACAACGCAGAAGATGGACCACAGATGTACTGGAGATATAAAACGAACAGAAGGCCAGCACCAAAGATCTTTTCCTACCCTGATGCTGCATGGCATTCCAGAAGTGAAGAAAAAAAGACTATAAAAACAAAATCCCTTATGTTTGCTTTGAAAATGAAAACTCCCCCCCCCCCCCCCCCCCCCACCCCCCCCCCCCCCCCCCCCCCCCCCCCCCCCCCCCCCCCAAAAAAAAAAGAATACATTTATCTTACAGAAAATGAAATTATTTCTTCTTTTTTTCTGGAACCTGTTTTGCCTTTCAGGGTCAGTTTTTGAAGAGGTATCAGGTGCGAGCTTTGTGCTGCGTAGATACTAGTATTTACAGCTTCAAATATTTCTTCCATCCATCGCTGTTTCTTTGAGCAAGCTATTTTTTCCCCCCACCTTTGGCTTGCTGATGTAATTTATCCTTTTATTATTATCCTTTTAACTCTACGCTGGGGCTTTGGCCTGTGAGGATCCCAGTGTTGAAGATTCTGGCCCTTGAGTCCTCTTGGTTGATAGCCTTACCCTATAACATAGAGCAGATAGGCAAGCCTGAAGGCCACACCTGTTTCTTGGCGATGTCACATTATAAATTTTCTGGTAATGCAACATCTGCAGTGCTAAGAGGTTAAGAAATCTACAGGGATTTCCGATATTTGTATCTTTTTTTTTTCCTCTTATAAATCCCTGATGTGGTAATCCTACAGACTGCATTCCTGGAAGGGAAAAACTTTCTACCCTATCGTCTTAGTCTTAGTCGAGGTTTCAACTTCACTACAATCGGGTTTTCCCATACTTGCTCCGTTTCTGTGCCAGTGAAAATCAAATGAAATGTCCCTCACTGTCCTACCTGAAACACTGGTGAACAAACAATTAGTCCCGGCACAATCCAGAAATATGAGCACGCAGTAAATGCATATGGCAGTTGCTAGAGACGCCAAAGCCAACAGTCGTCACCAGAAATGCAGTTTGTCATTGATGGAAGTAGTCGGCCACAGTAAGTTGGCTATACACACGTAGAATTAATACATAAGGGTTTTCACCACCTCATACTAGTGGCCATAGTAAATACTACGACACTACAGCACAAATGAAAGACATTTCAAATCAAAAACTTCGAAGCTAACATTCTGTCATGCCTAATCCTCCATTTTAGACTGGAAGTCTCTGCTGTGTTACATAATAAGCCCCACCTGAACTTCATGGGCAATCGGTTGAGGAACACTGGACTAAACAACACACTTATTCACAGCTATGTCTATGATAAACAAAAATGAAATCTTTCTGTCATAAAAGAATGATGCATGAGTTGCAGGTGGTGAAAGTCACATGAATATTTTGCCCAGGCTATGTAGGAGTGTTTGGGAATAAACAGGCAGATAGGCTGGCCGGACTGGCCCCGCTTGGGGGTTACTGCAGCTGCACATAGCAGAAGTGATCTCTCAACTGCAGGACAAGGTAACAAGTAAAAATGAAAATCAAAACCTAGAAACAAATGATGGAGCTGGGAGTGTCTGCAGATTCTGGGTGCCACTCAAGGGGGCAAAGGCAAGACGAGTAATTAACCAGATGATAGCGGGTACCATCAATATGCAAACCTTTCGCTGTGTGTTTAAGAGGGAGTCGGAGCTAATTTGGGCTTATCCTGAATGCTGTGTTGCAAAAGCTTTCCACAGATGAACTGAGTTTACCACATGTGCTCTCTCTTTTTCTTCAGCTGCCAATGAAGAGTTTCCATATGGTCGGTGTCTACAGCAACCTTAATCAAAGTACAACTGTCGTTTCTCCTGTGCCCTGAATGTTTTCCAGACAGTTTCTCATTTCCCAACTTAGTTTCTTCAGGTCTGGACACTCTGAATTTACAAATCCTAAACAGCCTTCACCAAATTCATCTCTTATCATAAAGTTGCTAGCTGCCCAGAGGCACAGCAGCAGCCAGTCTATCAGCCAGTTCATTACCCTACACACTAGAACGACCTGGGCAGAAATTTCTTTTACAAAAATTAAACTGACCCGAGTGGCAAGTAGAAACTGTAATATCACATCAAGAAATTTTATAAATACTTCACATTAATTTCATAAACCTATTTCACAGTAAATTTGTACAATATATTTCACACCATCTGTAAACAATCTGACTTCAGAATTTCATAAAATCTGGCAGCATAATTTTATGATTGTGAATTCCTATCAATGTACAGAAATGGGGATTTCTGATTAATTTTTACACAAATACACTGTACATAAATTAATAAAGCTGAATTTACAAAAAAGTGGATTTCTCATTCATTTTACACAAATGTATATCATGTAAATTTATAATGCTCATTTACAGTTACGTTATAAATATATTACTATCTGTCAAATTTATTTTACTTAAAATATGTAACATTTCTGGCTAATTAATAAAATGTATTACAAATGTATTTCAAAGCACATGATTTCAGATATAGTTCTTTTAAAACTGTTACATTTTACATCGAGTTTTATAATGTAAAACCATACAAATTTTTAAAATGTCACTTTATATACATATATAAAACTCAATTTCACATGTCTGAAACCTTTAATTCACAACCATTTTTTAAGACATGATTTCATATCAAATCAGAACCTGGGATTTCACATCAAAATAATCTCTGCTAAACTACAACAGGAGATTTCACATCAATAAAAAAAATAAGTTTTGCTAATTTATGACAGATACCATATCAACATTTTTTTAACAAACAAAAGAATTTATTAAACATTTAAGAAAGTTGATTTCATAATTTTAAAAAAATTTAATTTATAATAAATTTCAGACGGGTGATTTAACATCAATTTACAAAAAATTAATTTATCATCAATTTTAAGAAGATGAATTCGCATCTATTTATAAAAATTTTAAATTTTAACTTTAATTTAAAACAAGCGAAACCACATTAATGTATAATACATGCTCTCACAGCCTTCACCTTGGATGTGTCCACCAATGATATCACAGAGAAGCCTACTGTGCGATCTGCTCCTGTGGTGGGAGGGTCACAGACTGCTGGTGCTGTTGAACTTGTATCTGCCGCTGTTGCTGCTGCTCAAACATATGGTACATCTTCTTGGCGACCTCGTAGACGTACTTGACGTCTGGCCTCTGGTCGGGGTCTGGGTTGATACAGATGTTCACCAAAGAACGCAACTGAGGAAATAAACATTATTTAAATTCATTGTCTCATTTATACTGATTGTGCAAATTACCTTACGTCTTCTGCTTTATAAACTGTGAGTTGGATTACGTGCAATCAATCAATCAGGTGCCGTCTAGACAATGAATAATAGCTGCAATGGATATCCAACACCCTCTTGTCTTGGTTGTGCACTGCCTCAGATTGCTGCTCGTCCATCTCTTGATATGTCCACCCTCTTGTACTGTTGCCCACCTCTTGCCTTTAACCTTTCCCTCCACTGTGGCTTTTCAAAGTGTCTTATGTATGTTAATGCGGCCAAAGTATTTCAATTGTCTCCTTTATATTTCTTTCAGTAATTATCTTTTTCATTTGTAGCATTCCAGACCTGGATTATCCTCAAGTCACTTCGGATACATCCATATGTGCTCAGATCCCCCCCCCCCCACTCAACATATACATCATAACTTACACATACCTATAAAAGTGCAAGTATTATGCTGATTGACCAGACTTCTTCTATGCCCAGTGAGCCTCTTGTGCCTGGCTACGCCGATCTTAACTCCTTATTCTTGCATTCTTAACAGTAATGCAGACTGCGTGTTCATAACCCTGCAATCGCCCTCCCTCTCTAAGGATATTAACAATGTGGGCGCAATCCACAGGCTGGCCAACTGCCACTAGGGCACGACTACCTTTATTTTTCAATTACACTGCTTTTAGTTAACTTTACTCCATTTTTATATACTTCTACTGCACTTTTACTTCATTTTACTTTAGTAAATTTTTCTTTTTCCTTGTCTTCACTTCCTGTTACCGCTTAGGTGCCGGGGGGAGGGGGTTCAACTTCTTGCTCTTCTGGCCACCTTGACCATAGACATACATCGTAATGTTGTACAGTTTCTCTGATGTTATCTTTTCAACTTGTTCTTTACTCTATTCTGGCTCAACTTTTATTTCACTTAACGTTTATTTTACATTGACTATTAGCTGAAATGGCTTCACCTGTTCGGAGTAGCAATCTGCCGGCAAGGGCGGATAATCACACTGCTCTATCTTCTTGCACAGGGAAAACAAATTCATCTTGTCCCCGTAGAATGGGGACTGTAGGGCTGCCATCTGAAACAACAGACATTGTGATCAGTCCCGCTAAAGGCAATTAATAGCTGCCATATTTACAACAACAAAAAAACAGACACTGGAATCAGTCAAAACTAACCCCTAGGATAGACCCACTATCTTCCTAAACAAGAATGTTGCAGGAGGTTAATAATCAGGGGTGCTTCCTTCTAAATCAGAGTGATCTGCAGGAAAGTTAAAGAACCAACAGTATGCAAACAAATAAACCGAATCGGTAAAATAGATATGCATGCAAGACTCAACTCCTGGAACAATATTAAAGACCAGAAGTAGATGAACAACCAAGACTTTCCACAAAAATGTAAAGCCAGTGAACACTTAAAAAAAAGTGCTTCATTAATATCCTACCCCTAACAGGAGAGATCCACAGGTCATGGGACAGTCTAATATTTCAGGGGGTGGTAGATAGGCTGCGTGCAGTCGTGGGACCTAGTCTGCATGCATTCGTGGGACCTAGGCTGCACTCTCTCATAAGACATAGGTGGTTGGCGTTCTGGCCAGTTCTAGATGTTTTGGGGGTTGTTAAAAACATCAGAAAGCCGGGAAACCCAGTCTTACCACCCTCTAAAATATTGGACTGTCCAAAAAGTCACACTACAGGTTTTTGTTCATTCAATATAGGTATGTCATCTGACATTAATAGACAATCAATCAATCAGTCACATTAAAGCGTATATACAATACAGATCTGTCATCTAATCTAAAGTCTGTGAAAATGTATATATTATGTAACCATACCATCATCACAGGGTACCAACACCACCCATAAATAATTATAAATGGCCCCTTCTTTCCTTACCCCTGTCTTTTTCTGTCTTCTGCTTTGTTCTACTCGCTTCCACATGTTGGTGGAATGTAGGTATCAGCATCATCATTTTTTTCTTTTTCTGTCTACTGCTTCGTTCTACTCTCTTCCAAATGTTGGTACCTACCAGGCATCATCCTTTTTTTACCATTTGATTATTTTTGCTTTTGTAAATGTATATGAAATATTGTAAACCATGTTTTCAACCAATAAATCTACTTGGAAGAAAACAAATCTGAAATCACAGACACAGCTGTCAGCTATTTTATGTGCAACTGTTATGCAACAAACTTGACTCGCTACAAAAATGTTTTGTGCTGAGATTATTTACAAATCATCCTCGTCTGGGTTCCAGGTCCCATGGTGGGGACAAGAAGAACAGACATACTGCCTGCTCAAAAGTATGTTTTATAGGTCGACTAATTGGGAGCTTCCTTCAAAGTCTGAGTATATCTGCCTGAGAGGCAAGAAACCAACAGTCTGCATGCAAACAAGTCAGACCTGTGAAACAGATGTGCACACAACAGTTTCTGGAACAGGCTTAGAATCCAGAAGTGGATGAACAAGTAGAAATTTCTACCGGAGTTTACAGAAGGTGAATGCGAAGAAGATTTACAAAGCAAATTACCTCATACAGCAGGCAACCCAGAGACCAGATGTCAGATTTGAAGTTGTAAGCCTTCTCATGAATTCTCTCAGGTGACATGTAATATGGCGTTCCAACTGCAAAGATGGAGAAAAGTGCATCACAAAATTCAGTGTGAATGTGTGGTAAAGTTTGTGGTAAAGTTCTCAGAACTAGCCATGACAACCATAAAGATACAGTCCGAATTCAATAAGCATTCATACATTCTGGAAAACAAAATAACACTGGTTCTCTGTAGACTAATCAATTTTAGAAAGGTATGTGTCTGTCTGTTATGTGGCTGCCTATTATGTCTCTGTCGAAGATGGGCACAGGATATAACTGACTGCTGGAATATGAAAGTACACAAGGTGGGAAAACTGGCGAGAGACTTGAGTTTCTTTCAGGCAGGCCGCAACGAAAGTGATGTTCTGCAAAGGATTAGCTACATGATGATGTCTCTGTGAGAAACAATCTTATTACACAAAAGATGACTGGGAGTAGGCTACAAAGCATATGAAGAGATAATATACAAGCAGACCTACAAACACTTTGAGTTACCAAGTAGAAAAAGAAGGTCACCAAGTGGAAAGAGAAGGTCACCAAGTGGAAAGAGAAGGCCAGCCAGAAAGATAAACGGCAGCAGACCATGAGGTAGACCAAGGAGACGGTGGAGAGATAATTTACAAACCTACAAGCACTTGGAGTCACCAAAGGGGAAAGAGAAGGCCACCCAAAGAGATAAACGAGAGCAGATCATGAGGTAGACCAAGGAGACCGTGGAGAGATAATATACAGACAAACCTACAAACACTCGGAGTCACCAAGTGGAAAGATAAGTCCACCCAGAGAGATAAATGGAGGCAGGTGATATCTGCAGTAATTAACTTCAGGTGGCTCAGAATGCTGAAGATGAAGAAGATATGCCTCTACAGAAATCTTTCAGTGTAAGAAAGCTGTGTGGTTCTCTAGAGGTTAATAAATGTGAGAGAGGTGTTCAATCCTTCAGAGAGGTGGTCTCCAACCTGGAGAAAGGGGAGTGGCTTGAGGAGGTTTCAAGGGGGTGACGGGTAGTTTTTAAACTCAGTGCATTAGTACTTGTCATAATCCAGTTACAAACATTTTTTTCCTTTAATTTAATTATAAATAAAATGTTTCTTAACAGCTTTCTATAAAAGAAAAAACCGAGGACGTATTTTTGTCGTGAGCAGTTTGCACATGCACCCAAAAAAAAAAGGTAATTAATATTAACTGTCTATACGAGAAGATTATTACGGTCTAAGGAGAAAGGCTCTGCGAGGAGTTACCAGGGGTTCTGGCCGATGCTTAACACTCAGGGAAAGGATGACTTGGATATACAATCAGAGGGTAACTGGTACTATCAGAATTGGAACTCTTCGCCTGCTGCTAAAGATGGGGACTGAGAATGTTTGGGAGTGTCCACCGTGCTGTGATGTCAATTTTTGATTCAAAGCGAGAAAAATGTTTAACTAACTCCTTCACTGGTAACCTACAAACCTTCTATCTTCACACAGGAAAGGGTGGTGTGTTGTGGTTTACAGCTAGGCTGCGAAATGTGCACATTTAGATCAAACACAGCAGCAAATCCCTAAAGTAGTCACCATTTACAACATTTGTTTGTTGGGGGGACAAGTGGGTCCCTCGCACCCCAATGCAACAGGACCCCAGAGCCCATTCAGGTACTACAAACCTAGTGACATGGCTGCAGTGGTCTTGGAGCTGAAGAACCTGCCGAGCCCTAGGTCTCCAAGCTTGACAACTCCCTGGGCGGTGATGAATACGTTCGCAGGTTTGATGTCTAGAAATTGCCAAAAGAAATTAATCAGAAAGGTCAAATGTAACAAAACAGAACAGGAGAGGAAGAATGTAACAGTAGAAAGTTGAGTTTAGAAGAAAGATGTAAGAAGTCAAGTTTAGAAGAAAAAAATTAAACACGAATTTAGTAGAAAGAATATAACATGGTCTTGAAAAATAAATATAACAAGTTGAATTTAGCAGGAAGAATGTAAAAAATCAAGTTGGAAAAAAAGTATATAATGAGTTGTGTTTAGAATTTTTTTTTTAACAAGTTGAGTATAGGAGAAAGAATGTCACAAGTTAAAAACCTGAAAAAAAAAAATATGTGACAAGTTTAGCAAAAAGAATTTAACAAGGCAAGTTTAGTGGAAAGAATACAACAGCTGAAGTTTAGAAAAATGGTACAGTTCAGGTAGAGTTTAGCAAACAGAATGTAACAAGTGAAGTTTAGCAGACAGCATACAACAAGTGAAGTTTAAAAGTAAGAATATAACAAGTCACGGTTAGCGGAAAGAATGTAACAAGTGAAGTTTAGAAGAAAGAATATAGCAAGTCAAGTTTAGCAGAAAGAATATAACAGGTGAAGTTCAGCAGACATAATATAACAAGCAAAGTTTAGCAGAAATAATATAACAAGCAAAGTTTAGCAGACAGATTACAAGTGAAGTTTAGAATAAAGAATGTAACAAGCTGACGTTTTAGGTTTGAACAACGGATCAACATCATGGCACACGGGTAGTAACCCATAAATGCTCTGTTCTACTTTTAACTCAAGTCTGAGTCCGAAGTAGCTCAGCGCAGTGCACAGGCTCCGTAGCACCGGCGAGGATCCTGAAATATTTAGGGTAGATTTTAAACTCACAATTTTGCCCGGGCAGTGCCGTTAAGCTATTCTTTTCAATTTCCAACTGCCGTGGGATTTTTTCGCGCACAACAATACACATGGGCGTCTGATCTCACTACCCAGAGACCAGAGAAAATTACTAGAAGTACACGGAAACAGAAAAAAATCCTAGCCTTTACCAGGGGCTGAACCATTCCTTCCATGGTAATTAGCTGACAGAAATACAGGATGGGTAAAAAGCTTAATATACTGAATATACTCATGTGGGTTCTGGGACCCTATTGTAGGGGAAATAAGGGTACTTTATTAATATCCTACCCCAGCTGACGTCAGAAGACAGTCCATTATTTTAGAGGGTGGTAAGGCTGGGTTTCCTGACTTTCTGATACTTTTAACTATGCCAAAACATCTAGTACTGGCCCTAACCCCAATCCCATGAGAGAGTGCTACTACTGCATGCTGTAGGATATTAATAAAGGGAAAAGCTTTCTATAAAACAAAAAACCGAGGATCTATTTTTGTCGTGAGCAGTTTGCACGTGCACCCTAAAAAAAAAAGGTCATTAATATTAACTGTCTATATGAGAAGATTATTACGGTCTGAAGAGAAAGGCTCTGCGAGGAGTTACTAGGGGATCTGGCCAACGTTCAACACTCAGGGGAAGGATGAGACAGATATAAAATCAGAGGGTTATTGGTACCATCGGATTCTTCGCCTGCCCCTGAAGACGGAGACTGAGCATTTATGGGAGTGTTCATTTTTCTGTGATGTCAATTCCTAACCCCAATCCAATGAGAGAGTGCAACTACTGCATGCTGTAGGATATTAATAAAGGGGTAGGATATTAATAAAGCACCAAAATAAGAATATACCCACAGCCAAAACTGCCATTGGCTCTGCTATAGGCTAATGACAGGAAAACACCGTAGAAACACACTCAAGCCAAACACTTGTTGCAACACACACACAATCTTTATTACCAAAGATGCAAACGAAGTGGTGGTACACCTCAGGAGGAGTAGCGCTCCTTATTCAAAACCCAGGCCGCGTCTAACTTTAAAATCGCTTAGAGGCGCCTTTACACGTTCATGAAATAAGCTCTGAGCCGCTACCACTCTCCCGTACAGTGCCAGCTCAACCCGCTATATCTCGATGCCAAAGACGTTATGGCATACGCCAATGTGTAGGCCTAAGTGCGTCGACAGTGTTAACGCCACCAGCAAAGCATGGTCTGGCTTCTAGTTACAACTACTACTTTACATGAAACTATGAACAGAACACGTTACAGCTAATCACTACGCTGGTACCTATCTTCAAGTCAAAACAAACGGTCAGTCAAAAATCCACTCTCGTCCCACGTCCAGTCTCCTAGCAGTCCCCCAAGCAAGCGTTCAGCGTCCGGTCCAAAATGTGCACACCCGTGCGAAGTCCGCTCATGCTCGTTTCTACGTGTGTATGCACGTATTGAGTGTCACTAAGGGTCGCAGGGTACGATGACGAGATTCATCATCATCATCCTGAACTGTCCCATAGCAGGGCGAACCCTGACATCCACCCCTCCTTTTGGACAGATACTTCCTGATGACAGACGTCTACCTTACATATCTACGTCTGGAGTCAAGTATCTCTACCTGGGTATGGGATGTCGACAGAATTGTGTCTACATTCAGTTCAGTGCATCTCCGGATATCCTGCTTTCTTCCCCCAATTATTGTCACCAAACAGTCATGAAAGTTCCTATCAAATAGATTTGAGATGTTTCCTAATGAGAGTCAGTCACCTGAGAACAACGTATCTTTACATCCTTATGATCGTACAGGGCAAGATGCCATTAGCAAAATCCGACGACGTAAAACAAGAGCAGATCGCAGACGGCGGGAGAGATGGACCCAGCCACCATGGTGGAATGAAGTAGTCAACATGGCGTGGCTAGAAAAAAGGAAAGCTGTCAAGGCATGGCAAAAGGCAAGGAAAATTGATCCGTCACTTTCTGAACGCCTGATCAGTCTGAAAGATGAGGTCAACAAGCAGACAGTGGCTTTCAAGTTAATTGCGAAGGAAGCTAAGACAGCGAAATGGAACGAATTCTGCAAGAGTGTTTGCTCCGATGGATCGCTTGTGACATTCTGGCGCCTTCAACGGAGCATGCACGGCGCCGCACGACCAAGGGGTATCCCTGATTTTCAGGGTACAGACCTGATATGGCAGAGAACTGATGCTGATAAAGGAAAAACCCTTCTGGCGCGCTACTTGGAGCAAACTGACCAAAAAGACGTAGCTACAAGAATAGGGGTTAAGATGAAACTGTCGATGCTGTGCGAGAACACTGTGCTAGGCACTGATCTCACAATCACTGCAGATACCTTAAGAACTTGCCTCAAGAAATCGTGCAGCACTGCTCCAGGCCCTGACGGCATCCGATACAACGACATGCTGATGATGTCGAATGCTGATTTGAAAAGCGTGGCAAAGGAATTCAATATCAGCATCCAGAGTGGCCAGATACAAGAGGAATGGCTCCATAGTTATTTGTTCCCACTACCAAAGCCTAATAAAGACCACTCAAAGATCTGCGGCTACAGAATCATCTCGATGCAGAATACTGTTGGCAAACTTTTGGAAAAAATTGTCGCACAAAGATTGACCACCTACTTGGAACTACAGGATAAGTTCCCACCAACACTTGGAGGATACAGGTTAAATAAAGAGACATGGTTCAATGCTGCAGTTTTCGCCTACGATGTGTACGAGGGATTTCAGATTAAAGAAGAGACATGTGAGGCAGTGTTGGACTTAGAAGATGCCTACAATAAAGTACCATATGATTATTTAATGCAATTACTGCTTAAACTAGAAGTTAATCCTATTCTGATCCGCTGGATTGCTGCGGTCCTGTTCCAGAGAAAGATTGTACTAAGATGTGGTAGCTGGTCCTCAGAACCGCAAACGATATGTCCAGGCTTGCCACAGGGATCACCGCTATCACCAGTCTTATTCAACGTTTATACGGTGATGATCACTGAGCAGCAGTTGAATGGAAAGGGAAGGACTTTGTCATTTGCTGATGACATTTTGATTTATCGACGAGGGTGTGATAGACAGGAGATCGCCAACACTATGCACAAAGAACTCGATCGAATTGCCGCCTGGTGTGATGGTTCCAATGCGTATGTCAATCCTTCGAAGGCCATCAGTGTCATCTTTCTCTTTGAACAATCACACTGTCAAGTCAGACTTACCAGAAGTGAAAATGCGGGATAATGTATTGATCAGAACCAACGTTATGACGTTTCTCGGGGTGAGGTTCGATCGCAGCTTGTCATTCAGGGAACACGTTGACCATGTGATAACAAAAGCACGCAAAGGTCTATCTGCAATGAGGATTATGGCTGCTTCCAATATTGAGCAAAGACTACTTATACTTCTATTTTACGGTCTGGTCCTTTCCCCCATTGAATACGTTCTGGCCATCCTCACTGTCAGTGCTAGCCAGATTGAACGACTCGAAAAGGTGCAAAATGAAGCTATGCGCATTATTTTGGGATGTACAAGAGACACATCCTGTGGAGCAATGAGGTATCTACTTGACTTTCCAACAATGAACCAAAGGATCAGGATGTGGAGGGCTCGGGCATATCTCAAAATATGTGCTGATAAGAAACACCCACTGCATCAAGCGCTTTTTAGTGAAAAGGGCGACAGACTGAAGAGGGGGAAATTGTGGCTAGGTCGGGCAGAAGATGTTATTAGGCAAATATGCAGCCTAACCGACATCATACCTGGTGCAGAATGGATACCTGTGCCTCAGGAATTTATTTGTACATTTTCCTGTATTGTCACACTCAACAGGCGATGTAGAGAAGAGAATCCTGTTGCTGTTAATGCAGAGGTCAACGATCTCATCGGTGAAAATTCGGACGAAGCAGATGCAATAATCTACACAGACGGATCCGTTATACGCCAAAGAAGAAGCGCATGGGCATTTACAGCACGCTCAGCGGGCAGAACAGTCAAAGAAGCCAACGGCACCTTCTCCATGACAACCAGCAGCATGACGATGGAGGTGATGGCAGTGACGCAAGCGCTTGCCTGGCTTGAAACACAAAAATACACCCGCGTGTGCATACTCAGTGATTCAATGAGTATGATCCGGAGGGTTCAGGCAGGTTCAGTGCGAAGACAATGGCTTGAATCATTACAGAAGTCCACTGTGCGTGGAGTCACCTTTATTTTTGTTCCGGGATACGCAGGCGTCGATGGAAATGAAAGAGCTGACAGGTTGGCTGAATCCGCTATCACTACCGACAGTCAGCCTATGGATCATGCTGATATTATTAATGCCCTCAGAGAAATGGGAAGGATAGAGGACTTTGGTGGCAGTGAATCCACATCACTCGCCAGAATGGCAGATTTGGGAATTAAGATCGGCACAGCAAAAAACGAGACGCACACCAGACACGCCAGAAGACTTGTTAATCAACATAGAACTGGTACTATTAGCCATCGGACGTTGGGTTTCATACTGAGGGGAGGATCTGAGCACCTATGGACATGTCCGGAGTGCAATGAGGATAACCCAACTAACTAACTAACTAACTGCCATTATTATACCACTTTTGCAGTGAAGCCTGAGGGTCTTTGAGTCTGAGGATTTATGACCGCATGGCTAGTGCTGTCGCCACGACTGTGCAGGCGAGGGTAGACCAACTGACTACCCACAGGTATGTCGTGAAAGTCGACTGATTGGGAACTTCCTTTGAAGTCGGGGGAGGGGGGATCTGACTAAGACCAAGTATTCCTCATTGCATGGAAACTGGGTTCTTACATCATCATCATCATGTGCACTGCCAACTGGCATAGGCGCTCATGCGTCTTCACAGATCACGATCCCTGGTTGTCTGGAACAGCTCTCTTGATGATATCCCACAATGTCATCATTTCAGCCCATCAAGCATCATCTCTCTCGTGGTCTGCCTCTGTTTCCACTGATCTTTCCAGTTGTCATGAAGTTCTCCAATGTCTCTCTTCTCATTATGTGCCCAAAGAGCAGTGTTTGTCTTTCTCATGGGTTATTACTTACTGCCACTAAATCTCTCTCAAATTTCAAAGAGGAAAGTAAAACAGCCAAACTAAAAATGAACAAACCTCTGTGCATGATTCTCTTTGAATGCATGTGGTCAAGAGCACTGCAGATCTGAACAAAATATTTCCAGATTGTTTTCTCAGGAATAAGCCGACACTGTTTCTTGAAGTGCTGCAAGAGAAATCATTCAAATAAACTTAAGTAAATGTGGGTGGATCGACTTCATTGCCCCAGGTTTCACCCCATATGGCTCAGTCTCTCTCTGCAAAACAGCTAGCTGCCTGCCGAATTGCTGCTGCACAGAGCACGACCTCCATAGCTCCAGCGACAATCCCCAAGAATCTCTGTAAAAATTGCATTCTTCAACTGAACGGCGCCACCGCGAAACGAACCCATGACTTTCAGAGTGCGAGGCAAAACATTCATCACAACTGTGCATTTCTGTCAATAATTATGAGGAGCAGGTGGTTGGGAAATTAGGATGCTACTTTAATTATCCAAACTCTTATGTTCTGACAGAAAGGATTTTTAGGGGGACTAGTAACTGTAGCTGCATGGCAACTGCTTTAACCAGGAAATTTAAGAAAATCGTACAGTTAAAAGAGAGTAGCTGTGGCGTTGGCGGTTAGACGCACGCCTGCGGATCGGAAGGTTGTGGGTTCACTTCCTGGCCGAGCCGGACATTTTTCAAAAATGGCCTTGACTCCCAGGTCGACCCAGTACCAGTCCTGGTAAGTAAAGGCAGCCGGTGTGATGCTGACCACATCACCCACCAAGTCTAGCCCTATATTCCCAATACACCTAAAGGCATGGAAAAGGTACGTTTTTTTATAGTTAAAAAAAAAAGACAACTAAATCTGAAATTAAACATAAGAATTCAATTTTCATGTTTTTATGATCACAGTACAGATAGTTAAATCAGCCAGTAGCATGTCCTTTGCAGAACCTTGCATCCATAACGACCCTCCGAAAAACTTCTCGATCGCAAGCAAGATGTACTTCCACGGCAGATACTCCCATTTGGAGATCATCCGCCACACCCTGCATACATCTTCTCTTTGGGTGTCTTCTTCCTCTCTTCCCAGGCATACACCCCAATATTATCTTTCATGGATGTTATGGTTTCTTGGCAAGTTTTGCAGTGACTGTACTAGTCTGTGGCCATAGCTATTGTCTCTATTGATGAGATCATCTGCCTATCACCACAAAGTTCATGACCATAACCGACAACAATTTGTCGGCTGCTCTCATACTCCATCCGCTACCTGCTTCCATAGCCTTACGTAGCCCAGACTGGGAGGTTTAACAGGTACGCCACCTTGCCCAAGCTTGTCCCGTAGACCAACGAAGGAAAGGAGGCGTCTTACATCTCCTTTGACAGGAGATACCCCTACCCCTCTAACCGCAGGCAGTTAAATACAGAACATTAACAATCACATATCTTTATCGGGGTAAAAAAAAAAAAAAAATTATAGTCTGAACATAAGACAATCTCAAGCCACACAGGCCAAAGGGTAGAGAGCAGACAATGAGAGACACCCTGGTCTTCCTGGGTGGTGGCAAAGCATGCGGCAGACACCCCTCCCCTCTACCACCTTCGTGAAATCTCATCTCATCATGAAACAGATATCTAAGCTTGAAAGAATTAGATAGCTAAGGACCCGGGTATGTTGAAGGATAGATATAAAAACAATTGAAGGAGAAAGCCAGCCAGAGAGATAAAAAAGTGGAGGCGCGTGACATCTACAGCAATGAACCTCAAGGGATCAGAATGCTGAAGAAGAAGAAAAAAGAAGAGGAAAAAAAGAAAGAAGAGGAAGAAAAAGAATAAAAAGAAGAAGAAGATGAAGAAGAAGAAGAAAACATAGTGTTATCACAGTTTCAACAGCACAAATAAATATACAAAATGAACAGACATACTCTTATCATTCTTCCCAAATCGCCAGCGTCGGCCAACTCCAGCACAATGTTGAGCTCATTGTTCTCGATAAAGGAGTCCAGGTATTTGATGACATTTGGGTGATCCAGTTGCTGAGGAATTGACAATCAGCAAAGAAGATGAGCCATACTGGCATGTTCAATGTTTTCATTAAAACTGTCATTGTTAAAAAAAAAGTCTTCTTTCTGTCATGCATTAAGCACATGGTGTCAGGAAAAGATGATAAAACAGCCGGAAAACATCATGACTGCTATTGGGAATACATCAGCTAAGTGATTTTGTGTATTCTTGTCGGCACATGCAGTTTTGTTGATTCATGTAATGTGCTGATAAAGGCAGAGGAGCCGCTGACTGAACCGTAAGAACGCTGGGATCTCAAATTGGAGATCAGGTTCGAATCCTCAGCAAGGCTGGGGATTTTTTTTTGTCGGGGAAAAAAAAAAACCTCACCTGCACAGTCGTGGCGACAGCACTAGCCATGCAGCCGTACATCATCAGGCTCAAAGACCTGCCTGCCTACACCACGATAGTGGTATATTACAGCCAGCAACAGGCAGTTTTGATTGAGGTTTTTTCGCTGATAAAGGCTTTCTAGCCATATCATTCATGTTAAGTTTGTGTTTATTATATTGTGAAGCTTGCCGGTCGACTTTTTGTCTGGTTTGAAATCTTCTGATGACACAAACAGAAGTAGAAGAAGTCCCAGTTTCCCCATTATCACAATCACAAACAAGAAATTAATGCTGCAGCTAAAAAGTCTTCATCATAAGCCAGAAAAAGTTCTCTACTGGGGGGCCTGGCCAACACAGTAAAGGATTGATGTTTCCTCAAAGGTCAGGAAAAAGTTCTCTACTGGGGGCTTGGCTAACACAGTACAGGATTGATGTCTCCTCCAAGGTCAGGAAAAAGTTCTCTACTGGGGGCCTAGCCAACACAGTACAGGATTGATGTTTCCTCCAAGGTCAGAGTACATCTGTCTGAGAAGCAAGGAGCCTGCCAGATCTGTAAAACAGATGTGCACCTAAGATTCAAGTCCTGTAATAATGCCAAATTCTAGAAGAAGAACAACAACCAGGACTTTCCACCACAGCTTACAGCTGGTGATGCAAAGAAAACACTAAGGCCCAACATTTTTTTAAAGTAATTAAATAAGAAACAGAAAAATAATTAGGCAAAGAGTATTCACAGGGACACAGGAAAAAAGGAAGACTCACATATCCCCACAGGGACAGGGAAATAAAGAAAGACTCACATATTCCCAAAGGGACAGGTAAATACTCACATATCCCCACAGGGGCAGGAAATACTCACCCCCACATGGGGCAGGGAAATAGTCACATATCCCCACAGGGACAGGGAAATAAAGAAAGACTCACATATTCCCAAAGGGACAGGGAAATACTCACATATCCCCACAGGGGCAGGAAATACTCACCCCCACATGGGGCAGGGAAATAGTCACATATCCCCACAGGGACAGGGAAATAAAGGAAGACTCACATATCCCCACAGGGACAGGGAAATAGTCACATATCCCCACAGGGGCAGGGAAATAAAGGAAGACTCACATATCCCCACATGGGGCAGGGAAATAGTCACATATCCCCACAGGGGCAGGGAAATAAAGGAAGACTCACATATCCCTACAGGGACAGGGAAATACTCATATATCCCCACATGGATAGTGAAATAAAGGAAGACTCACATATCCCCACATGGATAGTGAAATAAAGGAAGACTCACATATCCCCACAGGGGCACAAGAAGAAAGAAAGACCCAAAAACACACAGAGAAGGGAGCTAGAGAGTGACGTTAAAATAATGGGGAGATCTGCTTGAGATAAATAAGGACAAAACAACTTGGCTTGAGTTGACTGGGGGCCTATGCTCCATCTGGAGTTCCAAAGGCAGAAGAAGAATACTCACATATCCAAAATGGATCCTCACTTACATACCCACATGGGATAAATGTTCCTACCTTCAGTAGATCAATCTCCTTCATGCAATCATTTCTGGCTTTAGCATCCATCATCTCAAAAATCTGTGAAGAAAATCAGTTGGATAAAACCATCCCTTATAAATGTAAATGTTTTGTAACACAGCATACCCTCAATGGTTTCCGGGGCCCTATTTGTGTGTGTGTGTACATGCATGTGTGTTTGGGGGAGGGGAGAGGGATAGACCCACCTTTTCTTCTTCACTTTCTCTTGTACTGCCTCAGTTGTCAAGTGAGATATAAGGTTCTGCTTCTCGCTTTTCTGGCCACCATTTCCACTACCATAGACATATCATGCTGTTGTATAGTTTCTCTGATTTTATCTTTCCATCTTGTTCTTGGGCTACCTCATGGCCTACACAATTCTCCTCTTTTAGAGTATGTCTTGTTTTGTATGGTACGGCGTCACAAGGCATTTTCTCTAATTGGGCAAACCATTTGATTTGCAGTCTTTAATTCCACTCTGTGCTTGCATTAGTTAATAACTAGTTTATTAGTAATTACTTTACTTGTTCTCCACATTCCTGCTCCATATTTTTAGTACAGATCGATTGTCAGTAGAATATATTCAGTCTGGAACAACCTCCTTCTTCCCCACCCACAGTTTAGGCTTCTTGTCCTCTTCCATAAACACACACACACACACACACACACACACACACACACACACACACAAACAGAGAGCACTACCTTCTCTCCCTCCTCCTCTTTTACACACATAGAGTATGACTTCTCTCCCTCCCTCTCTTTTACACACAAAAAATATCACTTCTCTCCCTCCCTCTCTTTTACACACAAAAAATATGACTTCTCTCCCTCCCTCTCTTTAACACACAGAGTATGACTTCTCTCTTTTACACACACAGAGTATGACTTCTCTCCTTTCCTCTCTTTTACACACACAGAGTATGACTTCTCTCCCTCCCTCTCTTTTACACACACAGAGTATGACTTCTCTCCCTTCCTCTCTTTTACACACACAGAGTATGACTTCTCTCCCTCCCTCTCTTTTACACACACAGAGTATGACTTCTCTCCCTCCCTCTCTTTAACACATAGAGTATGACTTCTCTTTTTTACATACACAGAGTATGACTTCTCTTTTTTACATACATAGAGTATGACTTCTCTCCCTTCCTCTCTTTTACACACACAGAGTATGACTTCTCTCCCTTCCTCTCTTTTACACACACAGAGTATGACTTCTCTCCCTCCCTCTCTTTTACACACACAGAGTATGACTTCTCTCCCTTCCTCTCTTTTACACACACAGAGTATGACTTCTCTCCCTTCCTCTCTTTTACACACACAGAGTATGACTTCTCTCCCTTCCTCTCTTTTACACACACAGAGTATGACTTCTCTCCCTCCCTCTCTTTAACACATAGAGTATGACTTCTCTTTTTTACATACACAGAGTATGACTTCTCTTTTTTTACATACATAGAGTATGACTTCTCTCCCTTCCTCTCTTTTACACATAGAGTATGACTTCTCTTTTTTACATACACAGAGTATGACTTCTCCTTTTTACATACACAGAGTATGACTTCTCTTTTTTACATACATAGAGTATGACTTCTCTCTCTTCCTCTCTTTTACACATAGAGTATGACTTCTCTCCCTTCCTCTCTTTTACACACACAGAGTATGACTTCTCTCCCTTCCTCTCTTTTACACATAGAGTATGACTTCTCTCCCTCCGTCTCTTTAACACATAGAGTATGACTTCTCTTTTTACTTACACAGAGTATGACTTCTCTCCCTCCCTCTCTTTAACACATAGAGTATGACTTCTCTTTTTTACACACACAGAGTATGACTTCTCTCCCTCCCTCTCTTTAACACATAGAGTATGACTTCTCTTTTTTACATACACAGAGTATGACTTCTCTCCCTCCCTCTCTTTAACACATAGAGTATGACTTCTCTCTTTTACACACATAGAGTATGACTTCTCTCTTTTACACACACAGAGTATGACTTCTCTCTGCCTCCCTTTCTTTCTCTTTCACATTAAACAAAACAGATAGAAAACCTTCTTTTCCTCTTGCTCCTTCTCTCTCTCTCTCTCACACACATGCATACAAACAGATAAACAGAGCAACTGTTCAATACCTGAACTTTCTTCAGTGCCAGGTTCATGCCACCGTTCATTTTGTATTTGGCCCTGTAAACTTCTGAGAACTGTCCCTTGCCAATCTTCTTTTCTACATCAAAGTACGCCAGCTTGCCATTCTGTGAGGCCATCAAAGGTATAATGGGAGACTGGGAACTCTCTGGCACAGATATATCTGTTGCCTCCATCGCTTCAGCCATTATTCTTATAAACTGTGGAATATCTAAAGAATTCAAAAGATATTAAAGTAACAAGACGGGCGTTCTGTGGTCATGGTTTAAAAATAACATCAAATGCTACTGCACTTCATTAGTTTGGCAATCACTGATGCTAGCTTAAGAAAATTGTATTTCTTCTTCTGTGTTTGCCGTCTTAAAAGGGTGACTGGCATGCTGTGTTGTGGTTTACAGCTAGGCTGTGATAACTTCATCGTTTTCCTCCAATGCATCAAATTTAAGTAAACCCTTAATTCATCATCATCATTCTCATCATAAACCACTTCTGCCATTAGGTGCAGTGGAGAGAAATGATTTGTGCATGTTGGCTGGCACCAGCCATCGAGGCGTAAAGTGTCTTTAATGTTGTTCATCCACATTTTCATGGTCATCCTCTTGATCTTGTAGCCGATCTTCTGAGATGCAGTGCCTGTGATGGTAACTGATATTGCTGCATTCTAATGAGATGACCAAACCATTCGATCTGCTGCTTCTAAACCCCTAATCAGTCATCTTTTACAACATGCTTGCCACAGGGACGGCCAGTCTGTTCTTTTTTCGCCCCTAAACTACAGGGCCCTGGGACTATAGTAAATACAATTATTAATCACATTAATGGCTTTACCGCTCACAAAGAGAACTGTCTGCCCACATCAGAAAGATATAATCTAAATTCTTTGGTCATGTGATAAGAAGGAGAAAACTGGAGGGGAGGAGAGGCAGAGGGAGACCGAGATAAAAGATGCTGAACAGTTTGACATTATGGAATGGGAATTTCATCTGTGTCAGAGTTGACTAAAAGTAGACAAGGCAGAAGGCTGTGAATAGACATGACTACCAACACCACAAAACATGGACTTTAAGAAGAAGATGGCTTTATCTTCTTCTTTCGTTTACTTGAAACATATTATCTGTATCTGCAATGTTACCTCTAGTATGAGCTTTACTATTTTTTTTAAATTCACTCAGCAACACACAGTTTGGCTTCCATCTGTGTTTCTCTTGACTAGAAGTTTTGCCTTAATATGTTGAATTGTGGACAGTCTTGGAGGATGTGATCTATTGTCTCAAGTGCCAGTCCACATCATGGCTCTATGAAAAGGACCCTTTCCCAGCCAATGGCGAGTCAGGCATGTGATGCCAACTTCACGTTTCTATAGATCGAGCAGCTTTTGAATGATGTGGTCTATATCACAATGGTCCCCTTTACTTCCCAGGATGTTACCTGGTACCTGGGTGCCAAAGCAATTTAAAAATAAAACAAGATTTGATGTGGATTTGAACCCAAGACTTTTGGTGGCAGCAGGTGTCTAGTTGGTACGCTACGACAGCTTTTTTGGCTTTACGTACAAGTTGTATATGAAAACCGTACAAACACAGATACTGCAGGAAGGGTGGAGGGCAGCTGAACAGAAAGCAAACAGCGATACAAGTGGGGAAATTAACAGTTAGATAGACCAACAGAACTTTCTACCTATGTACAAATCAGGCAAAGGATACAATTTGTGACGCGTGCGTTACACTATATGATTATCAAAATAATTATAATATAAATTTGATTCCCCATGAGGGTTCCAGGGCCATACTGTGGAAGGGAAAAAAACAGACCCAGTGCCCATCCCTCCTTACTCCCAAAACATGCAGTAAAATTATACTAATTACTGGTGTTTTCCTTCAAAGACGAGGTATATCTGCCAGAGAGGTGAGGAACTTGTTACAAACTCAGGTCCAGCTCTGCCCTTCTACACACTAGGCCACTTTTCATTGATGTTTGTTCAGGCTGTTCCACGTTACTCAAGGTTACAGAGGTGTCCCGGTGTATTCGAGGGACCTAGGTTCAGTGTGTGAGGGGGGATGGGGGGTGTTAGGGCCAGTTGTACATGTTGTGAGATCGTTAAAGGTGCTCACATCCTGTAATATAGAGCATGCGTGGTCACCAGTGAGAGCGCTGATGTCCCTGCCAATTACACCTGTGCATCTCACAGGTTAAGGCGAAGACTGAACCTTCAATCACAGCAGTGTCGTGGCCGGGCTCCATCAATCACAAGTGTGCAGATGGGCAGAGCTGAGCCTGAGTTCGTTACATGTATCCATGAGAAACCAACTGTCTGCATACAAATAAACTAATGCACACAAAAGTTAATAAACAAACAGAATGTCTGCTAGAGTTTACAGTGGATAAACTCAAAGAAGAAACAAACTTAAATAAACCTAGATGGGCTGCACAAGATGTTATTTAAATGACTGCATGTTGTGAGGGCCCTTTGGGAGCAAGTAAATGGTGCAGAGGAACAAACAAGATCTGAGGAGAATGGCGCTGCAGGGAGTTACCAAGGGATCTGGCCAACACTCAAGGGAAAGGTGAGATGGATGTACAATCTGACAGTTACTGATACAATCAGAATTGGAACTCTTCGTTTGCTGCTTAATATGAGAATGGAGCGCGTATGGACTTGTCCTGAGTTCTACGATGTCTATTTTTAAAAATTAAACTTCAATATCAAAATGACTACTACTAGTAGTACTTGGCTTCTAGACCAATTATGATGATCATTATTTGTGGAGATGACTTTTGGTTTTTATTAAAGCCTTGGTAAAGTAAGCAATTTTTTTTTCTGTCGGGGGCAAAAATAAAATTACTGCCTGCCCAGCCTGTGGCAACAGTGCTAGCTACGTAGCCCTAAAATCACAGGCTCAAAGATCCCCTTGCCAATGCAACAAATGTGGTAAATACTAGCAGTAGTGGCAGTTTCTGACAGAGAAATATGAGTTTTCAGGAAAACCATCAGGCAAGTGAAAGAGCATGTGAAATAGATCAATAATTCAGGTATTGAATTGGAACTTGAAGTGAGTACAAAAGTACAGATTCAAGGACTTACTAAACTACTGTAAAAAAAAAATGAATGCTTTTCTACAGTACATAGTTTTAATTTCTTGAAAAATAATTAAATTACACAGGCCAAAATAAGTATGCCATCCTTGTGTGCATTTTTTTTTTAAAATGGCATTTATATTTTGGTAGTTGGCACAAAAGGTAGACAGTGGTACAAGTGGGAAAATAAAATCGAGACATGGACAAATATTAGTCAAAGAATGGTAGCACCAGACAGTGAGATAGTTGGAGATCCAGTGTAGTGAACATTCATCATGAAGAAGACACCTAACTAAATTAACTAGCCAAAATACTAAATACTTGTTCCTTCAACGAGTTTCTTTCATTCGCAGGTGTTAGGTTCAAATCCTATTGTCTAAAAGTGTATAATGATCAAGACTTGTAAATGTATGTATCTCTACTAAATTAAGTTGAGCTGAGTCAAGAACTGACATCACAGTACTTGGGGCATTCCCATGCATGCTCCATCCTCATCTTCAGCAGCCAGCGCAGAGTTCCAATACTGATGGTACCGGTCACAATCTAGTTAAAAGTCCGTCTTGCCTTTCCTCTGAGTGTAGTAAGCCGGCCAGATCCCCTGGTTACACCCAGGTGCCTCATTCTCTAAAGGCCATAATAATCTTCTTTCTCTACTGATTTGGTTGCTTGTTCCCAAAGGGCCTTGACCACATCTGCCTTGTGCCCCTACTAAATTGTTCTAAACTAGTCCTATTAATTCATATGAAAATTCAAATATTCTAAATTAATCATAATTCTACTGCTCTTTCTCCTGTTACATTACTTCATTTCAAAGTGTTGGGGGGGGGGGGGGGGGAGCCTGGACGTTTGGACCTTCTATCTAAAGTCTTATCTTTATCTGTGATCTAATAGTAATTTAGTACTGACTGAATGATACAAAATTTGGTTATCCTCTGAATACCGGTCCCAAATTATCGAGGCTAAGAAAATACCCTAACAGTGCCTCAGTCATATGTAAATTGCGGACCTCTTTGTTAACTCTTTGAGTCCCAGGAAACGCAACATGTGCTACTTGGTTACAACACAGTGACCCAATTGATGAGTGACAAGTGAAGGTTTTTAATTTAATGCTGACCGGCAATGAAACTCGGACCGCTCAATTTCGACTTCCTTTTGAGTTCTTTATGTCAGACATCAAGCGTGCTCATCTGTAACCGTAGTTTAAAAGTAGTTTATAGTATTTACCGAGTTACTAAGTGTTTGTTTGATATGGCCACTGAGCAGCGTTCTACGTGCATGCTAACATGATTTACGGCTTTAGAAGCCTCAAATTTAAATGTTTATTAAATTTATCTGAAGTTAGATTGATAAAGTTGCAAAGCAGACTTTTTAAAGTCATTTATAGAGTCAAGCTTTGATGAGGGATAGGTCTAATGTGTACCTCATGCGAAGGGTACAACAACAGAAAGTCAGCTGCCACAAATAGAATTAATACTAGTGAAAAGGCAATTTTCTTCTGTGTCAGTTAATTCCAGTGCTATTTCCCTTATTATTTAGGAAAATAGCTACAAAATTACAGGCAAATTGAGTGTTATAGATGAAGTTATAGATTTTGTGTGAACTGTTTTATAAAGTCAGTTTTCTTTATCAAATAATGGTGCTCTGTTATGATGCTCCAAAAGGTTCTCTGAAACATCATCTAATGCACAGATTTATTTTACTTATACATTACTAAGTGGTTCATTTTCATTTGTGATTCAGTTTGGATATATTTTAGCGAGCTGTCCTTGTGTGACATGGTGGTAAATGGAAATTTTTAAATTTCATGTTACTAATTTCTGAAAACATACCGTCTGTTTATTTACTAATATTTTATTCCAATATAGCAATTATTTGTTGTAGTAGTATTCTATTATTATTTCCCAACAATCCCTGATCACTTTGATGTATAACATGTGTATGCTGCTTGCCAGTTGAATTAGTATTGTGTGCTTTAATATGTTACACTTGTGAAATTAAATAATAGCATTACCACCCCTTGGGCCTTTGATGCTAAACCTTCTGGGAATCAAAGAGTTAAACTCACTGCCAACAATATATCCCCGCACCACTACGGCCGCGCGGATGGGGATCT